CAAAAACAACAAAAACCATATGATTATATCAATAGATGCAGAAAAAGCCTATGACAAAATAAAACACCCATTCCTATTTTAGAAAGCATAGGGGTATAAACAAAGTCTTAAAATGATAACTTGGGGGGGCAGCTAGGTGGCGCAGTGGATAGAGCACTAGCCCTGAAGTCAGGAGGACCTGAGTTCAAATCCGACCTCAGACCAAACACTTGACACTTACTAGCTATGTGGCCCTGGGCAAGTGACTTAACCCCAGTTGCCTTAAAAAAAGAAAAAAAAGATAACTGGTATCTACCTAAAACCAAGAGCATGGGGATAAACTTGAAGCCTTCCGAGTGAAGCAAGGATGCCCATTACCATTACCATTATTCAACATTGTACTAGAAATGCTAGCTATAGCAATAAGACAAGAAAAAGAAATTGAAGGATAAAAACAGTGAATGAAGAAACAAAACTATCACTCTTTGCAGATGATATAATAGTATACTTAGAGAATCCTTGAAAATCAACTAAAAAACTAGACGAAATGACAACTTCAGCAAAGTTGTAGGACATAAAACAAACCCACATAGATCATCAGCAACAAGTGCTGAAGGGGATGTGGAAAAAATTGAAATAATAATGCACTTTTGGCGGAGCTGTGAACTACTCCAACCATTCTGGAGAACAACTTGGAACTATGCCCAAAGAGCTATGAAACTGTGCATACCTATGACTCAGCAATACCACTATTAGGTCTGTTTACCCAGGAGATCAAAGAAAAGGGGAAAGGACCTGTTTGTACAAAAATATTTATAGCAGGTCTTTTTGGGTGGCACAGAATTAGAAATTGAGGGAATGTTCATTAACTGAGGAATGGCTGAACAAGTTGTGGTATATGAATGTAGTGGAATAGTATTGTGGTGTAAGAAATGATGAGCAGGATAATTTCCGAAAAACCTGGGAAAGCTTATATGGACTCACGCAAAGTGAAGTGAGCAGAACCAGGAGAACATTGTACACTGTAACAGCAATATTGTAAGAATGATCAACTGTGAAAGACTTAGCTATTCTGATAAGACAAGAACCCAAGACAATGCCAAAGCACTCATGATGAAAAATGCTATTCACCTCCAGAAAGAGAATTGACGAACTCAGAATGTAGATTGAAATATACTTTTTTTAACTTTATTTTTCTTGTTTTATTTTTTTGTCTGTGTTTTCTTTTATAATATGGCTAATATGGAAACATGTTTTGCATGACTTCACATGTATAAGTGATATCAAATTGCTTGCTTTGTCAAGGAGGGAAGAAAGAAGGAAGAGAATTTGGAGCTCAAAATTTAAAAAATGATTGTTAAAAAATCTTTACAAGCAATTGATAAATATTTAATGAAATAAATAAAAAATATTTTTAAAATCTTCCAAATAAAGGCTTTCAGTAGATTTTTTAATCCATTTATTAAAAATATCAAAATATAACACCTTCTAATAGTTTGCTCAGAAAACTGATTGACATCAGGAAGGATAGACATTTACTAGTTGAATTTAAACAAAAAACTTTGCAAAACTGGTGGAAAGTATTGAAAAACTTAGTATCATGACTTATAATTTCAGCCAATAATACACCTCTTCCATTTGAATCTACATGCACAGATTTTATCTAATCCAATCTCTTCATTTTAGCCATGAGATAACTGCCAGCCAGAGAGTTGCTTTGCCCAATGTCATATTAATTAGTGGCACAGCTGGGAATATAACACAGGTCTGCCAAATTCCTCAATCACAGAATGGCAGAACTGGAAGAGATCTTCAAATCATGGAAACTAATTCCCTCATTTTAAAGCCAAGAAGCTCAACTAGTTTACCCAAAGTCACATATCTAAAACTTAACACAAGTATTTGTTGACTTGAATAGATGTGACTCTAGTACTATGTGATAGAAGGAACCCTAATATACACCAAAATGAGACAACCTATCTTCATACATCCCATGTGGGGCCACTGAACAAGAAGACTAAATAGTGGGGATATCCTTCACCCTTACATTCCCTTTCCTCTTTCCCAAACCCCATACCACCTAAACCCCATTGGGCAGCAAGGTGGGAAGAGAAATTTGACTTCTCACACCACTTAGATGAGCTGAGAGTGACCAACTACAGTCCTTCTAATAAGATAGCCCACCATCAGGTTTTATCATTTTCTCTCCAGATGAGCACTGCCATCTAATCTGTTGATAAACCCTAAGGATTCCTGGGCTTTGCCATCCACCATGCTAAGAATGTACCCTTAGGAATTCTGGGCCTTTCCATTAATCTCACAAATGATTATCTTATTATCTTATATGTACTATCATACTCAGAGTATGACCTCCTTTAGAGCAAAGATTATATCATTGTTTCTATTTGTAATCCCAATGCTTGGTACCATGCTGGTTATACAATAGGTACTTAATAAAGGCTTCTTCATTTATTCATTCATTTATTATTATCATTTTTATTATCATTTATTAATTTATTCATTCATTTATTATCCCAAACTACCCAATCTTTTCTTGTTCTGGCTTCCCCATCTACTCTCCTGCAACAATCACAACTTTGATTACCGCCCCTTTCACCCTGTTATTCCACAGCGCTGATGATGGAATGCTCTATACTTCTTCCAGTGTCCACTTATTCTTATCTATATGTTAGCATTAGTAAAGATATTATTCAGGATGGGAAGACTATGTCCCTTCCAAAACATCCTGGCTAAAGCCTTATCTCAGCTTGGTTCTACCGTAAACAAAATAGGCAATCTCCACAATGAAAATCATTTAAAAGTCATAAAATTGCAATAGAATGTTAGTTCCATGAAAACAGGAATTGTCTCACTTGTTATCTGTATTCTATAATCCGAGAGTCTAGCACAGAACTTGGCACATTCTAAGAGCTGAATAGACGCTTGTTGGTGATTGATTGTGGCAGGGCACCCCCAAAGAGATGTAAATGGTGAGGCTCCCTTGCCCCATCATCCCCAAGTGTCCTTATTGCTTGATTCTTATTTATCACTTAAAAAATAAGTCAAATCAAGTATTAAATCCCTGTAATTATTGAATCAAATACTCTCTGTGTCTGTAAACCATAGTATATTGAAAGTTAATACAAGCAATGTAAATGTAAAGAAAAAAAGTAAAGTTAATGTGAAATTCCAGAGAATAAGCATAGTCCCAAAGAAGAGATATTTGAAGACAGCCTACCCTACTCCTTTGCAGAGGTGGAAGTTCTACAGGGTTAGAACACTGCATATATTTCCATATTTTTTTAATGTATTGATTGGTTTTGATAATTTTTTTTCTTCCTTCTTTTTTTCTTTCCTTAAAAACATTATTTGTTATATGATATAGATCTCTGGGAAGGGAAAGGGATCCTGGGAGAAATTCTGGTGATGTAAAATTAAAAAAAAGATGTCAATCAAAGTTTACTTTTTTAAGGAAAGTTACTATAATATTTAGACAGTTAAAATAGTTAAGTTTTTCCTTACAAAAAGTTGAAATCTGAGTGTCTGAAACATTTCTCCTAATTCTGCATTGTGAGGCCAAGCGAAACAACTCTAACCCTTCTTCCATGTGATGCCCCTTCAAATATTTGACGACCCCCCTGAGGAGTTTGAGAGAAATTGTACAAGTGGTCAAACAAGCTTTGGAGTCAAGTCTTTCTGTTCTTCCTGGCTCTTGCTTAGACTCTTTAACTAGAAAGAATCGTTAACAATGAGCTTTATGAAATGAGCTGATGGAGACTTAGCCATGGAACTGGCTGTCTGGACCCTAAATCCACCCAGGACTAGGCAATTTTGCAGATGAGACAGTGCAGTGGATAGAGAGCTGGGCCTGGAGTCAGGAAGACAAGTTCAAATCTGGCCTCCATCAAATCTGTGATGCTGGGCAAATCATGTCAACTCTGTCTACCTCAGTTTCCTCATCTGTAAAATGGAGATAATAATAGCACGTATCTCACAGGGTTGTTGTGAAAATCAAATGAGATAATGTGTGAAGTGCTTTACAGAACTTAATGCACTATTTAAATTATTATTCATTTGCTTTTATGAAGTTACAATCAATATGTGGAAGAGGGGATCAAGGAGACAGTGGAGACACAGCATAGCAAGGAAGGGAAACAGAAATATTTCTTTCCTAGTAACTTTCTCAGACAGAAATGTTGGCCACTTTGAAGAGGTATTTAGTTATAGAAGATCATTGTGATGATCATTAAATCAAAAAATCTAACCATAATGCAAAGAAAGGAAGTAGAATTGATAGAACTTATCCTAAACTTGCAGACTCCAGGGCAGGTCTGGTCTTAATGCTATCATTCCTCCCTCAGAGAAGGGAAGTAAACGGGAGAAAGGAATAAGTATCTGTATAGCACCTACTACATGCCAGGCACTGCGTTAAGCGCTTTACAAATATTATTTCATTTAATCTTCACAACAACCTTGTGAGAAAGGTGTGATTATTATCTCCATTTTACAGTTGAGGAAACTGAGGAAAATGGAAGTTAAGTGACTTGAGTAGGGTCATAGAGCTAATAAGTGTCTGAGGCTGGATTTGAACTCAAGTCTTCCTGACTCCAGGCCCAGCCCTTTATCCACTTGTATCATCTAGCTGCCTCAGGTCATTGGGTGACATGGAAAGGCTGAAAGGAGTTCTGGGGTCGGTTCTAGATCTGTCTCATACTAACTATTTGTAAATCTCTTTCTCTCTCTGGAACTCAAATTTTTTTCATTTATAATATGAAGGGGATTCAATGATCTCTAAGTTATCTTGTAGTTCTAAAATTCTATATTCCATCTTACAGGGGAAAGTATATTTTCAGAAGCTGGATTACACCTATGAAAAATCCCCCAGGAGAATGAAATAAGACTGTCAGCTCCATGGACCAAGATACCCACACAGAGGGATTCAAGCCTCACATGCTCACCATGGTCTCCACTGAAATTTTGTGGGAAGATAACCAAAGAAACAGACTCCGAAAGTGTGTGGCTTCAGGGAACTCCATGAGTAGGAGACAGGCTTTATTGAAAACAGTAGAGAAGCAATTAACATTTGGGACTTTTATGTTCTCCCTCTGCCCTAGGTACCCCACAAGCACAACATCTCTGCAAAGTAGAGGGGATACACTTGGGACAGGATCCAGTCCCAACCTCACGTACTCAGTACACGAGTAGCTAAGGACATATGTTGGGTAACAGGAGGCGCCAGAAGTGGAGGGGAGGTGTGATTTCACAAATTTTGTCAGGTGGTGACTCAGGGTTCCATCTGCTTCTCTCTCCTCAGACTCTATCCTATTTTGGAGGATCAAGGTGTATTGGCTTCAAGGGTTTCCCTCCACAGGCCACAGTGACAGTGACGTGTTTGTTAGCATTTTTCACCAAGTATCTGCATTTGCCTGGCTTGGAACCTCCCTTAAGGCGGCACTGAGTGATTCTCAGAGGATGAGCACTCTTGTGACAGTTGTGCATATTCGGGTTTGCACATGGCGTACTTGCCTCATGGCAAATATCCTGGATCTTCTGGTAAGATTCATGCACGAAGGTATTGACTGGCTTGCATTTCCCTTTTGTCATGCCCCGTTTCGCCATCATCTGGTCGCAGTATTTTTTCCCAGGATTGCCTTTATTGCCTGAGTCCACATGCTGCCTCCTAAACTTTTCTTCTTGGGACTCTGCTAAGGAACGCTGGCTGAGCCCCAAGACCAGCAAAGCCAGCAGGGACAACAAGAGGAGTGACTTCTCTGGAATCATTGTGGCTTCACTCAGCAAAGGAATTCTACCTAGGAAAGAAAGGGAGATCAATGAAGAAAATACACATATTGGAAAAGGAATCCATCTTAGAGAGAGAGGAAGGTTCCTTTAAGCCTTTGGGGCTCCTGTTTCATAAGCTCTTTGGTGAATGTTGTGTATTAAATTCCATGGGTAGATGAGTAATCAATAATTAAATCTATTTTTTTCAGATAAAATTGTAAGTGTATATGTAAGCATAAATTATAATTTATAATATATAATGTATATTATATAATATATTATAATTACATATTATATAATATATAATGCAATATAATAATGTAATATAATATTACATGAAAGTATAAATTTATAATATATCATGTATATTGTGTATATATAATATATATTATATAATATATAATATATTATATTTCTTATATATAATATATATCATGTATATCATATAATATACTATTAATATTATAATATTAATAATATAATATACTAATATTATACATTAGTAATTATATTTATATATATTCATATATTATATTATATATAAATTTTATGTAAATATATAAAATATATTATATATAATATATTTAAATATTATATATAAATTGGTAATTATAATAATAATAATTTATAAATTTTATATAAATATATTATATTTATATATAAATAATTATATATAACTATATATAAATGATTTTATATATAATTTTTATATATAATATATAATTATATATAAATAATTATACATAATTATATATAAATAAATTGTATGTGTATATTATACATTAATATATAATATATATAATTTATATATTATATATAATTATACTAATGATAATATTAGTAATAATATAATATATTATATATTATATATCATGTATATTATATATATAATATATAATGTGGTATATTATGTAACATATAATGTAATATAATAATTACAATGTAATATATAACATAATATAAACGTACAAAATTTTGGTGTCTGTCAGATGTTGGTCATTTGTACAATCAAACATTTTTTTCATTAGCCCTTTAGTAATCATAAAACCTAGTTATAGGGCCTAATGCGCTTATTAAATAATAGCCCAGCCCTTATCTTTGACATAGCTTTTCTGGCTATTAAACTCCTTCATAGTTCATCATAGTCATTCTTTTATTGGGTAGCAAAACCTCTTTTCGAGGCCAGAAAAGGTTCTTACTGCCTGAGAGATCCCCCAGTAAGCAGTATGCCTCCATTCCCTCAGTCATTCTGAGTTGCCTGATTTAGCATTTTCGTACTCCCTTTCTAATATCTACTCCCCTTCAACAAAGATGAAGTTTTTTTTTCAAAGTGTAAGGAAATATGGGTTGGGAGCGGAGTCCCTCAAAATGTGCTGGGGAAACTTCCTACCATATAGTGGACCTGGTGATGGAATGCATGGAGGTCCTTCAAATACACTTTAAGCCCTGTTAGTAGCTATTAATATTCTATGGTTCAGAGCTAGAAGAGACCTTGGAAATCATTTAGTCTAAACCCTATATTTTACTGGTAAAAAAAACAAGTGATTAAGTAACTTTGTTGAGGTCTTATAGCTAGCTAGTAAGTAGAAGAGCCAGGATTTTAATTCAGGTTTTCTTACTTCAAACCTAGGGCTCTTTCCTGCGTCATTCATTATTTCATAGTTCAGGATATAATATAGTTCACATCATATCCTTAGGTACATAGCAACTACCTGACATAGTCTGGTTATCCTGAAGGAAAGGAGATGCCAGCATCTTAAAGGTTATTTCAAAGAACATCACTCTCCTCCCTCAATGTGATTGCCTTTCTTTTTCTTCCCTTTTCCATAGGTGATTGATCTTCTTTCTCAAAGTCTCCCAATGTAAGACTCCCTATCACCAGTATACCTTGACTCTAGACTCTTAACAAAGAATACTTCTATGTAATTCCCCTAGGCCCTTATTCACGTTCGTTTGTTTTTTCCTGGTCTGTCTCCTGAGTGTGGAGTAACTGTCTCTGAGTACTGACTGAGTCACTCTACCTATGATCTACTCATTTTACAGATGAAGAAACTGAAGCCAAGGGAGAAAAAATAATTTCCTCAAGGGCAATAAAGGTAGAGGTAGAGATGAGATTAGGCCTTCTAAGGACCAACTTCACCATTCTTTCCACTGCACCATTTTACCTCCATCCTTCTCCAGGGAGAAATGGGAGTTAGGAACAGTACTGACAACTACCATCAACACTCTCAGAAATTGGCAGGAAAAAAGGAAAAGCTTTTATGACTTTGTTTGGTGGTCTTGCCATTCAAAGAAAGGAACAGGGAGAGCCATAACAGGAGGTAGATAATTTTCTGAAATGGGTCTAGGAATTTCTCCCACATTGAAAAAAGCCTTATCTAATAAGCCTTTCATTATCCAAAGGAATCCTTTGGAAGGATGTTGTAGTGGGATGTGATCATTTTAAGAGAACCCCTTTTTTCCTTTCTCACGAGTTGGTTTGGAAACTTTGTGTCCCAGAGGGGCTCTTCTCCAGGTTAAGTTTCTTCTTACTTCTTAAGTTACACTTACTTCTAGGAACACCACAACTCCACCAGGTTTGGCAACAAACCATGAAAAAGTCATTTTGTCTCTTACGGCCTCAGTTTCCTCATCTCCAAAATGGAGGTAACAATACTTAGGCATCTCACTACTCAGGGTTGTTAGAAATAAAGTGTCCTATAAACTCTAAAAGACTATCAAATATGAGATATTTTTATTGTCTAATTTAAACTCCTCTTATCCAACTTCAAAGTAAATGCTTATTGACTTAATCTATGTGCTCTTCTTTTTTGTGAGGTGGGGATGGAATTGAACCAATCAGCATCTTTAACATCAAATTGTAGCTTCCTATGGACTTAATATCATATAAATTTTCATATTAACAATAGTACTATTGTTTAATTTCCAAAGTTAAAATTCTACAAGTTCCAAGTTCAAATAAGTAAAGATTGAACTCTCCTGTTCATGTCCAACTCAAACTAAATAATCCTAAGTCCTTGCATTAGCTTCTCCATTAATCAACAACTTACCCAACTTCTTGTGTCCTGTGTCCTGTGTGAGGATGACCAGGTATCAGACTACTTCTCCCTACCTGTCTCTGGTCCTGAGTTTTTATACCTCTAGTGCCTTAAGGGAAAAGATGAGTAAGACAACTTGTGAGATAAGTGTGTCATAGCCACTGGGGCAAATGAGACATCCAATGTGGGGAAAAATCCTGTAGGGAACAGGGAAGTTGAATTCAATTTATAATAAGAGAGGCATGTGAAGATATAACCTACCAGTAACCACAGTCATCTCTCTCCATCTTTGAGTCCTTAAGAACAGACATTGAGAATGAATTCATCATAGGGGTCCTGATCAGAAGCTTATATGGGGCATGACAGGTATGGTGATGGTTTGGGGATAAATATCTAAGTCTATTAACTCCATATTTATGCTTTACTTTTGCATATAGAATTAGAAAGTCTGACATTTGTCCAAGAAATTATTTCAAGTATCCTCATAAAGTTGGTAAGATTGGCTTGGTGGTACAGGAGAGTGCCTGTATTTGATATGTAATTAAATAATAGACTGATTCATCTCAAAACTCATATAGTTCATTTCAAACAATAGCAAGGACAAGTTGGCGGAAAAAGACAGCCTTAAGGTACCAACAGTGGCAGTATTAAATGTCTATAATTGAAATTATAAATGTCTCAAATATTAAGTAACTTTACTATGTTTGAAATTTGTTATGGAGAGAGCTATGTGTCCTATTTCTCTACTTTAATTTTCAATAAAGTAAAAGAAGTGAGCAACTAGCACAATCAAAAAATCCAGGATCCAAAGGCCCGTATAATACTTTAAATATGACAAAAATATTCCTTCTTCAATATTCCCAAATGTTCATCTTCTCTCTACCTGAGGACCTCCAAAAAAGAGAAACCCATGATCTGTGGAAGCAGCACATTCAGCTTTAGGATAGTTTCAATTATTAGAAAAATTTTCCTTACATCAAACATAGCTGTCTTTGCAATAGCCACCAGTTGCTCCTGGTTTTACACTTTCAGACCAAAAAGAACAAATCTAATCCTCCTTTCACAAATATTTAATGGTTGATATCTTGTAACCTCAGCTCCTTCAACTGATTTTTCAGAGAATATATTCTCCAGTCCTGCCATTACCTTGATTACCCACTTCTGAACACATAGCAATTTAAATGTCTTTCCTAAATGACAACTAAAACTGAACATAGTACTCCAGGTATGCCATTACCAGGACAAAGGATAGTAAAACTCTTGCCTCCCTTTTCTAGATCTTACGTCTCTCTTAATACAACTAATAACAGCATTAGATTTGGGGGGCTGTTATGTCACACTGATGACTCATATTGAGCTTGCATTAATATATTAAAATATTTTTTTCTTTTTTTAATATTTTATATTTTATTTTGTTTAATTCAGCAAAAATCTGCCTTCCCACCCTTCTCCCTACCCCCACCTCTAGCAATTGAGAATAAAAGAAAAAGAAAATCCATAATAAACAGGTATGATCAATCAAAACAAATTTTCACATTGGCCTCCCAAAAAATGTTTATCTCATTCTGTACTCTGAGCCTTTCACCTCTCTATCAGGAGGTGGCCAACATGTTTCATCACTAGTCTTCAGAAATCATGGTTGGTCATCACACTGATAAGAGTTTCTAATTCTTTCAAAATTTTTTCCTTTACCATATTATTAATTGTTCTAAATTATTCTAAATTCTTCATAAATTGTTCTCCTGCTTCTGTTTACTCTGCATTGGTTCATACAAGTATTCCCAGGTTTCTTTGAAACCCTTACCTTTATCATTTCTTATAGGAAAATAGTATGCTATCAAATTTATGTACCAAAACTTATTCATCCATTCCCTGATTTATGCATACCCTCTCAGATTCCCAATACTTGCCTCCCCAAAAAGAGCTATAAATATTTTTGTACATCTCTAAAGTTTGTTTTGCATAGGACTAATCTCTCCCTTAACTTGCCCTTCTCCTAATTTCCCCTCACCCCTTTCCCTCCTGTTAAATAAAATGGATTTCTATACCCAATTGTATCTCTCTGTATATTCTTCCTTTCTTTGATCTGTTCAGATGAGAGTAAGGTTGAAGTGTTGGCTGTTCCCATCCATTTCTTCTTGTTTATAGAGATATCTACTTTGAGCACCCTGATTATATAAGATAATTTTCCCTAACAATCCTTTTCCTTCCCTCCTCCCATTTCCCACAGCATATTCCTCTTCCCCCTCTCTTTCCATTTTTCTCTTAAGATCATCAAGACATAATAGAATCACTCCCAGGCCCTGTCTATTTAGATTCCCTCTGTGACACCCTGATGAGGATAGAGTTCAATGGGGACATATGTATTATATTAGATATTAGATAATCCATATATTAGAATGTAAGTAGTTCATCCTTGTTTAGTTCTTTATCATTATTTATTCATGTTTCTCTTTTGATGTTTCTGTTCATTCCTGTGTTTGAACTTCAAAGTTTCTATGCAGCTCTGGTCTTTTCATCAAGAATGCTTGGAGGTTCTCTATTTCATTAAAGGTCCATTTTCCCCCCTGTAATATTATATGCAACTTTTCTTTTCTTTTTTTTTTCTTTTTTGCTTTTTTGGGTGAGGCAATTAGGGCTAAGTTACTTGCCCAGGGTCACACAGCTAGTAAATGTTAAATGTCTGAGGCTGGATTTGAACTCAGGTCCTCCTGACTCCAAGGCCAGAGCTCCATTCACTGTGCCACCTAGCTGCCCCCATATTTAGCTTTCTTAAGCCTATGTTGTAGAATACAAGAATATTGTATTCCAAGTTTTCTGCAGTGTTATAGTGGTGACTGCTAAATCATGTGCAGATTCTGACTGTAGCTCCTTGGTATTTTAATTCTTCCTTTCTGGACGTATTTTTAATGTGATCTAGAAACTCTGGATTTTGGCTATGATGTTCCTAGGAGTTTTCATTTTGGTATTTTTTTCAGAAGATAACCAGTAGATTCATTCTATTTCCACTTTGCTCTCTGGTTCTAAGAAAAATGGGTAGTTTTCTTTTGAGATTTCTTGAAATATGTTGTACATATTTGTGTGATGAAATATGATGGTTTTGTTCATGACATTCAGATAATCTGTTGATCCTTAATTTTTTTCTCCTCAATCTGTTTTCTAAATGACCTATTTTTGCTGTGAGTTATCTTACATTGTCTTCTATATTTTCAATCTTTTGACTTTGTTTTAATATTTCTTGTTGCCTCATGGAGTCATTGGCTACTATTTGGTCCATTCTAATTTTCATGGAGTTTGTTGCTTGGACAAAGTTTTTAATTTCTTGTGCTAACTTATTAATTCTCTTTCTAATTCTTTCATCTATAAATCTTATTGGAGAAATAGAAAGGTAAGCTCAAAGCTGGAACTTCAAATGCTTCAACTTCATGAGGTTCACTAAAACAATAAAGAAGAAACAAATAATAGCATAATCCACTAATCAGAAAGTAAAACTCAGAAAATATTGGAAGGGAAAAGAAACAACAAAAAGGACAAAGAAAAGAAAAACTTCTTGGAAAAGACTGCAGTAAGAGAAAATTTCTAAAAATAATAACTTAACAGAGGAGGAGAAGAGGAATGGTTTTGAGCCAATTGCTTAATAGAGTGGAGAAAAAGAACAAACAAAAGGAGAGAAATAGATTTTTAATTAGTAATTTAAATAAGATTTTTAAAACTTGAGACAGGATAGGCAAATTGGAGTGAGGTAAGAGAAAGAGAATCTGTGGTAAGAGACTAACATCAAAACAGTTCAAACTGTTGGACAAAGTATTAACTCAGTATAGAAAAGCAACTTTTAAAAAGCAATACTAAAGAAACTGAGAAAAACACAGGTCTAATAATTGTAACTTTAAACATGAATATGTAAAAAAAAATAGAACAGAAGAGCAATGACAGAATACATAAAACAAAATCCAAAAATCTGTTATATACAAAAACAAAAAACAAATAAAAACACATCTAAAAAGTGAAGACCCATACAGAATAAGAATGAGAAGCTGAAATAGCCGAATCAGGTGAAACCAGAAAAGTAGAAGTTGTAATCATTCTATCAGATAAAGTAAAAATAAAAATTCAGTATCAATAGAAATAAACATAAATACCATATTATATTTAAAGGAATCATAGACAATGAGCCAATAGTAATATTAAATATAGAAGCACCAAATGGCATAGCATCTAAATTAATAAAGGAAAAGTTAAATGAATTGCAAAAAAGCATATTAATAGATGACTTAAAATTCTACTCTTAGCTGGACAGATCAAACAAAATATAACCAAAGACTAAAACATAGAAGTAAACAAGTTATTGGAAACTATAGAGCTGAAAGATTTATAGCATCTTCTGAAGGGAATATTAAAGGAGATATGTAGGAGATATATATGAGTATATACACACACACATTCAATAACATGTTACCTTTAAAGAAATAGACTATTTGCTAGGACACAGAGAAATTCTAAATAATTGGGGTTTTTTCAGTGCAAGATATACCAAACATATCCTTTATAGGTTATAACTAAATGAAAGTAGTAAGTAATATAGTGAACAGGATCAATAGATATGAACAAAAATAACACTTAATAATTATATTCTGAGTAATGACTGGGTCAAAGAACAAATCATTGAAAGAACTAATAACTACAAAAGAGAATGATAATGATAAACCTGAATACCAGTTTCTGAGATGAAGCTAAAGCAGTCTTCAGAAGACAATTATATTCCTTAAAATGATATAACCAAAATAGAAAGAAAAAAAAAGGTAAGTATTAATGAACTACAAATGCCAGTTTTAAAATTAGGAAATCTAAAATAAACACAAAAGGCTAAATCTTAACCATCAAAGGAGAAATGGGTAAATTAAAAACAAAAAGACTATAGAACTGACCAAACTAAAAGGTGATTCTTAAAAACAAAAAAAAATAGCAAACTTGATAAGCTGCTAGCTAACTGATTTTAAAAGGAGACAGAGAAATCAAATTAACAAAAGAAAATAATGATCAAGGTGAAATCGTA